ACTTGCCCCCTCCCCCAGCCCCCCACCCTGCTCCCTTCCCACCCTCTCTTTTGGTCCACACCACTCAGTCTCCATCCACACTCCCAAAACAACTACTCCACCACCCCTGAGGCAAGAAAAGCCACCTCTAGGGAATAGGCCCAAGCAGACCCTGGAAGTGTGCTCAGGACTTCCTGGACAGGGAATTCCAGGATCTCAGAGTGAGGTCTAGGGGGAAGGGTAGTGCAGACTCGGGGTGGGTGCCTCCCCTTGCCCACGGGTGGAGGGAAGACAGGGCAAGACCTTTTAAAGCACAGACCCAGGGCAGCCTGTTGATGGGGCATCTACATAGACACTGAACCAGAGAGCTGAGCCTCGGGCCTTCACCCAGTAACCAATTTTGAGGGCAGAAGGCTCACTTGACCTTCTAGTTCCACCAAATGACACTTATTTTGAGGGTGGAAACCTTGATGATTTCATTTTCTTGTCCCTGGCTCCTGACAGAATTTCCCTGGGCTGAATGGCCCCGGCCCCTCTGCCCCGCTGGGCTGCCTTGCTGGTGTCAGCCTTGGCTGGGGCCAAGCGGCAGCCTCACAGGTCGGTCTCTTCCCCTTTGACCCCCCCCCAGTGCCAGGACCACCCATGGGCATCCTGTTCCCAGAGGTGCGGACCACATCCGTGCGGCTGATCTGGCAGCCCCCAGCTGCCCCCAACGGCATCATTCTGGGTAAGCTTTTGCCCTCCCCATGCCCTGGCTGCGAGAAGAAGGAGGGGGCGTGAGGTGCAAAGGGGGCAAATCAGTTCCTGGTTGGAGGGCGAATAGGCTCAGGGAGCGCCCACATCTCTTCAAGAACGGGTCCTGAGTCTTATTTCTCTTGCCAGAAGTTTCAGTCTGTAAGATTATCTGCTGGAGGTCAAGGTCAGGGTTCAGGTCCCTTAAGGACCATGGGTTGGCTTTGTGTCCCTAAAGGCCCCCAGTCCCTAGCCAATGGGTCATCTGGTCAACCTCGGCTACTGATCCTGTAAGTAAATCCAAAAGGCTTCATCCCAAGTTCAAGGCTCCCCCCACACACACACCCAGGGTTGAAGTCAGCAACTGCGTGAACTTGAGAAGAGCTCCTTCTCCTTAAAAATGAGGGCTTCTGCCATCTGACCCAGGGCTCTCGGTCCTGACCTCACACACCGCCTACCCTGGATGACCTGCCACATCCTTGAAGACAGGAAGGGCGCGAGCTTTAGCCCAGGAAGGCCTGCCCTGGGATTCCAGCTCAGCCAACTTCCTAGCAAGAGTTCTGGCCTCTCTGAGCCTCAGTTTCCCCACTTGGGGGTGGATGGGGGTCATGGACATGGTGTGTAGAGTGCCTGCTAGTGCCCCCCGCAGTCTACACTCCCCAAGTGGGAGCCAAAAACCGGAGAGTGACTGAGAGAGCATCAGACAGTCAAATCACAGCCAGGGTGGCCACAGTCAGGGTGGCCCACGTGCAGACACTGCTGTGGCCGAGGAAAGGGTGACCTTTCCCAGGGCTCTGGGGAAGCTTGCTTTGCTTGCCAGCATGGCCATCTCCTTCCTTCCCGCAGCTTACCAGATCACACACCGTCTCAACACCACCACAGCCAACACTGCCACGGTGGAGGTGCTGGCCCCCAGTGCCCGCCAATACACAGCCACCGGCCTCAAGCCAGAGTCTGTCTACCTGTTCCGTATCACAGCCCAGACCCGCAAAGGCTGGGGAGAGGCTGCCGAGGCCTTGGTGGTGACCACGGAGAAGAGAGGTGACTGCCACGGGGGTGCTGGGCTAGCCTGAGGGGGCAGCGAGGGGGCACCCCAGCTGACCGGTGCTCGGAGCCTCTCCTAGTGGCTGGCTGGGGAATCTCTGGACTGGAGCGGGCAGTGGGATCCAATCTCTGAGGCCAAGGTCAGCGAGGGATCTGGCGGACTGGCAGAGCTGAGCTGGGAGTTCCCCTCCCAAGGACCCTGCTCTGCTCTGGTGTCCTCAAGGGAAGGTCGGTGACCATCTTCCCCTCCCTCCAAGCCCCTGGCCTTGTCCGGATGGATGGAGCAGCAGGACTGCAGCTGGACCCCTGGCTGCCCCTGCCCTGCTGCCCTGAGCTGGCACCTTGCCCCGCCTTGGGGTCCCTGGAAGCAGACCCAAGACCCTAGTGGATGTGGAAGTAACGTACTAGAAAAACTTCTCAGGAAAAACCAATAGGACAGTGGCTCTCAACCAAGGGCAACTTTGCCCTGGAGGGGATATTGGGCAATGTCCAGAGACACTTTGGCTGTCACACGTGCGGGGCTGCTGCTGGCATCAAGTGGGTTGAGGCCAGGGACGCTGCCACACAGTCCACCGTGCACAGGACTCCCCGCCACAAAGAAGCGCCCTTTCCAAATGCCTGTAGTGCTGAGACAGAAAAGCCCAGCATGAGGTGGGAGGTGAGGGTGGGAGAGAAGGAGGGAGGTAGTGCAGGTGCGTTCAGCCTCGTTGCAGGCAGGCGCAAGGGGGCTGGGGGGGCATTTGTTCCTCCTCCTGTCAGTCCTTGGTTCGAGGTTCTCTGAGGGGCAGATTCCCAGGTTTGGGGGCCCTAGGAGCCTGTGGATGGGTCTCTGACCAGGAGACACGGGTGCTGGCTATACACGGGTGTGAGGAACCGCCAGGCCCCTGTGTGCGTGGGAATGGGATGGGGAGGGGGGCCGGAGCACCTCCCTCCTCCCCGGAGCAAGTCCAACCCCCCACTGCCGGTAGGCCCAGGCTGGCTGGCCCACCTGCCCCTTCCCCTCTGCTGCCCCCAGACCGCCCGCAGCCGCCCAGCAGGCCGGTGGTGCAGCAGGAGGACGTGAGAGCCCGCAGCGTGCTGCTGTCCTGGGAGCCCGGGAGCGACGGGCTGTCCCCTGTGCGCTACTACACCATCCAGACGCGCGAGCTGCCCAGCGGCCGGTGGGCCTTGCACTCCGCCTCCGTGAGCCACAACGCCTCCGCCTTCCTGGTGGACAGGTGAGGCCAGCGCCAGTGTCTCCATCTCCATCTCCGCCCCTCCCGGTGGGGCAGTGGTGGCAGGGTGCTCCCAGCTGAGAGCACTTCCAGCTGTTCCTCACCTCTCAGCTCACACCACCCAGGGCGCCTCCGTCCGCTCTCACCCCTCCAGAATCAGCCCTCGCCCTATCTCCCTGGCTTCCTTTCCCTCCAGAACCCCCGCTAGGGTTGCCTCCTAATGAACTGTTTCTGGAGCCAGAAACCCTTTTAGTGAAGTGCCTGTCATCCTTCATTAAGGATGCCTCCAGCCAGGCTGCGTCTTCCACTCCGGCTTAATAGGGGCGTGGAGCTGCACTCCGAGATTCTGGCCTCAGTTTTAACTCCTCGGGGGTTGGAGTTTGTATGTTCCGGTTGAGGTGACCGGGCATTTTGGGCAATACTTTCTTCCCCACCTCCCCAGCTCCCAGTAAATTCAAAAGAAAGAGATTATTCAAAACAGAAGTGAGGCTCACAGAAGTGAAGTGTTGGTTAACCCTTGGAGAACCTCCACTCTTCTTAAGTTTGTTAGATTTAAGAAAGCCACACCTCATCAACAAGGGTACTTGTGCGGTGAATATTTGTATACCTAACCCTGAAATGTACCCCACAATTTTAAAGTTAAAAATTTCTTTTTTTTTTTTTGAGTTGGAGTCTCACTCTGTCGCCCAGACTGGAGTGCAGTGGCCACTCCCGGCTACCGCAGCCTCGACCTGCTGGGCTCCGGCGATCTTCCGCCTCAGCCTTCCAAGGAGCTGGAACTACATGCGCGCGCAACCACACCTGGCTAATTTTTTGATTTATTGTAGAGATGAGGTCTCGCTGCCCAGGCGGGTCTCAAACCCATGGGCTCAGGCAATCCACTCACCTCAGCCTCCCAAAGGCGCGGGATTACAGGCTGAGCCACCGAGCCCAGCTAAAGTTAAAAAATTTTAAAGTTAAAAGAAAAGGAAAGCCATGGCAGTCTCTGGGGTGGATGTCTTCATGGCTGTGTGGTCCTCTGACATGTGGACATTTCTTTATGGAGACCTCTGGCTTGTAACTGGGGCTATAGGTGCCCCAGGCTGGTGTGGTCTGGAGGGCCTGGCCTGGGTTCTCAGGACCCCCAGAGCCCAGCCCCAGTTTGTTGCCTTTGTATTAGAGCCCTTTTCTGAGCCTCAGTGTCCCCTTCTGTGTAGTGGGTCGGTCCCCCTGCCCCTTTTCCCCAAGCAGGGCTAGATCAGGGGGACTCTGTGGTAGAGGTGTGGAATGAAGTCTTGAGGGGACCCCCCGGTTCATTGGACCCGATTTCCCCCAACAGGCTCAAGCCCTTCACGTCCTACAAATTTCGAGTGAAGGCGACCAATGACATCGGGGACAGCGAGTTCAGCGAGGAGTCGGAATCACTGACCACCCTGCAGGCTGGTCCGTGCCCCTTCCCCAGAGGGTCTTTCTCTTGGCCCACAGGCTACTTCCTCGGGTGTTCTCTTCTGGGGGGAGAGGCCGCCAAAGACGAGAGGACACTGGCCCTGCCGGGCCCGGCAGCTTCTCGGGCAGAGTCCCAAGGAGGTCTGGGCCAGAGGGGCCTTTGCCGGGGCCTCGGAGTGCCAGGCCAGCCTGGTCTTCTAGTGCATTCCTCCTCTGAGGTCCCACCAGCTACCAGTGAAGGGAAGGGAGGAGGTCTCGGAGCAGCATGAGAGGCCGGTGGCTCTGTGGGGCGGAGCAGAGGGGCTCTGTGTCCCTTGGGTTTGGACTGAGGTCGGGTAAGGGTCCCTCTCTCCCTCCACACTGGCCCTGTGCTCCTCAGAAGTTGGGTCAGCGGGCATCGAAGGTGACAGAGGGGGACTTGCCACAAAGTCCCATGTCAGCAGAGTCTGGTCCCCTGGGCTCCTGGGGGCCTAAAGCTGCGACCCCAGAGCCCACCTGTCTGCCTCTCTCCACAGCTCCCGATGAAGCTCCCACCATCCTCTCGGTGACACCCCACACCACCACCTCTGTGCTGATCCGATGGCAGGTACGGCCCAGCAGACAGGTGCTTCCAGGAGGAGTCAGACAAACTCTGCCGTGGGACTGGAAAGCCAGCAGTCCCCCCCAGGGCTGCCTGGAACCCTGGGTTTCTCTGCCCCCAGAGCAACTGGGAAGGCATGCGCAATCCATGAGTGTGCGTATCATGAAGCATTCCTGACACACACGTGCACACTCACACACACACCTCATCCACCGTTCACATCCCTCATCCACACTCCAGATCTTCAAATCAGATGCAGTCGCCCCCATTGCAGAGGACCACCAAGACGCAGGGAGCGGACACGAGGTCCCAAGTCACACTGCCAGGCTTGTTAGCCTTAGGGCAGCTGAATCCTTGGACAGAAAAGGGCTTGAGGCTCTCAGGGCCCCAGAGCCTCCATGAAACCCAGACCTACCGGTCAGTGAAGAAATTCTTTCTTTTTTTTTTTTTGAGTCAGAGTCTTACTCTGTCACCCAGGCTGGAGTGCAGTGGCACACACTCCCAGCCACCCCAGCATCGACCTGCTGGACTCCAGTGATCCTTCTGCCTCAGCCTTGCAAGTAGCCGGAAATACAGTGCACGCCACCACACCCAGCTAATTTTTTGATATACTGTAGAGACAAGGCCTCGTCAAGTTGTCCAGGCTGGTTTTGAACTCCTGGGCTCAGGCAATCCTCTTGCCTCAGCCTCCCAAAGTGCTGGGATTACAGGCTTGGGCCACCACACCCAACCCCGAAGGGATTCTTAATAGAGACCTGACCAGTCACCATAAGCAGGAACCCACTATCCAGGTAGAGAGAAAACACCCTCTTCTCCATACCTCTTCCAGCTGCCTGCTCTTCAGTGGGCACTGTCCGCACTGTCACAGCCCGGGGAAGATCTCAGGCAAACCTCAGAGACCAGGCTGCCCAGGTGTCTTGACCTTGGCTCAGCAGGTCACCCTAGATGCCCCAAAGCTGCAAACTCCTGTCTCTGATTTTCAGAATCAGAGGGGCAGGCACACCCCTTTGGACATCTGCAGCCCCCAGAAAGGAATCCCTTGGGAGACAAAGCCGGGCAGGCCCCTGGCCCCTCCCCAGCCTGAGACACAGAGCTCAGCTAAGAGGACATTCCCTTAGATGAAAATGACCTTGTGCACCCATGCCGTGACCAGGCGAGGGGCGAAGCTGGGGCAACGTGGCAGAGAGGGAGGTACCCGCAGCAGCCAGGGAAGCAATCAGGGAGCTAATAAAAGACTGAACTGTTTCAGCAGGTTTTTTAAAAGAGGAATCATAAAAAGTAGTCTCCACCTTCTCCCGAAGCCTCTTCTCCAAGGAAGAAAAGGAGAGGGGAGTGCACTCGCCTTGTGTGTGATGGAGAGTAGGGACCGCAGGCCCAGCTCGCAGGAAGCCTGGCCAGGGTGTGCACGGCCAGGTGTGGCCGGGACCAGTAGGTCTGGGAAGCTGGTGGTGGGTTAAGGGATATCCTGGACAAGGAAGGCCCTAGGAAGACAGCTATGCACCCAGAGCCATGCTCCAGGTCCCAGCGAAGCTGTGAGATCTTGGGCAAGTTCCTTAACATCTCCGAGCCTGTCTTCTGCTCTGTTAGAGGGCAGTGCCTGATTCCTACCCTTCCCTGCCTCCCAGGGAATGCTGCCAGGATGAAATAACCTCGTACGAAATGCTCCGCACGATCGCAATGCCCAGTGTGCTTTGGTTTCTTTTCCAGTGGAGCTAGCACCCGCTCTGTGGCCACAGGAGGCGTGATGGGGAGAGAGGGTGGCGTGGGGTGCCTGGGGCCGGGCCCCCGCCCATTTCCTGCTCCCTGCTTGCAGCCGCCAGCCGAGGACAAGATCAACGGCATCCTCCTGGGTTTCCGGATCCGGTACCGGGAGCTGCTCTATGAAGGGCTGCGAGGCTTCACACTTCGAGGCATCAACAACCCCAGGGCCACGTGGGCGGAGCTTACCTGTGAGTGACACCCCGAGGGAGGGGGGGCGGGGGAGGCAGGGCTGGGGGTACACAGTTCATTTCACATTCTCAGCTTCCTGGAGTGGCGCTAAGTGGCTCTAACCTGAAACCCACCTCCTTCCCTTGGACCTCCCTCCCTGCCATCTCATTCATTCACTCACTGAGCACCTTCTCCTTGCCCGGGACACGGGGGCCCACGGATGCTCAAGACAGACAGGGTCCCGGCCCCTTGGAAGTTGCAGGCTGGAGGAGGAGCCAGGCGTGGAAGGCCCGTTGGCAGAACAGCTGCGAAGGAAGTATTCCAGGACAGCCTAAAGCCAGGGTCGAAACGATGATGCCAAGCGAGCCAGGCAGAAGGGACAGGCAGAGCCCAGCATGTAGGCAGGGCACCCTGCTCTTGAGGGACCGAAAGCCTCACCAGGTCAGGCTACCAGAGCAGGGATCCTGGTCCCCTCACGTTCCTCAGGGAATTCGCTGCCCTGCCCTGGGGCCCTGGGAATCCCGCCCCACCTCTGGCAGGAAGGCAGAGAGCATGGAGCCCAGGTGGAAATCCCAGGGAGAGGGCACACCCAGGGGCGGAAGGGGCAAACGGGGCTGGACTTGTGTGTGAGGAGGTCGCTTTGGCATCATGATTCTCGGCCGGGGTTGGGGCGTGGGGCCCGGAGGCAGGGAGGCTGTAGCAGGGGTGTGGGTCGCAGGGCATGAGGCCAGAAGCAAGGTGGGCTCAGACAGACCGAAGGCCAGTTGGGAGATGATGTATCACCCGTGTAGACGCACTGGGTTCTGTGACTGGCTCACAGGGGGACGGCGGCAGGCCGGGAGGGAGGCGCCAGGAGGACTGGGCTCCCAGGCGGGCGGCGGACACACATCCAGACTGGCAGGAGCAGGCGGCCGTTTAAGAGCCTCCCATTGTGACCATCCCTCCCATGGGTCCTTCAAACCTGTGTGCCTTGTCTCCCAGCGGGTTGGCAGACAAGGACATGATGGGGCTCATAGCAAAAGAGCATTACTAGAAACCTCGCAAGTAGCTGAGCCAACAGCTTGCGTTTGGGTGTGCTTTTCTTTTTCTGCCGACATGTGCTTGTGGTTGTGATTTTATATTGCCTGTGTATAATACAGTCATATTTCCTGGTAGTAAAATAGTTTCTGGTTCATATGAGGAAATTAACGACTCTAGTATTTCACGGCAGTTTCCAGGAAGCAAGTTGGGGCGAGAGGGTCCCCCGAGCTGTCCCTAGGGATGCTCCAAGGGGCTCTGGATACTCCCTGACCTCCAGCCAGTGTGCCTGGGGTGGGGCCGACTGACCTGGGAGCCGCTGCCTCCGCCCCCTCCCGCCCGCACTCTCACCCCAACCCCAAGCTCCGCATGGGGAACTGGAAATGCTCTCCCTGCCTGCTCTGCCCCGCCTCTCCCATCGGACCCCCGGTGGGGTTTCTCTGGTTGGGAGAGGGCGGGGATGTGTGTGCACTAACTGCCTCTGTCTGCTGTCTCCCCTGGCCCCCACCCCCACCCCGTAGCCATGTACTCCATGAGGAACCTGAGCCGGCCCAGCCTCACGCAGTACGAGCTGGACAGTAAGTCTCCTTGCATGCGGCTCTCCTCGCGGGCCTAGGCCTCCTGCGGGGGCAGGGAGTGGGGCCTCGAGAGCATCTGACCACACGCGGAAGGGTGCCCCCACCCCGGGGTGCTGGAAGAACAGGACCACCCTTCACACACGGGGCTTCCCTAAACGCACGAGCACGCAGGAGGTGGCGGGCCCAGTCTCCTTCAGGTCTGCCCTCTGAGGGTTGAAAAAAGAGAGCTCGTAGCCTGGTGCTCCAGGGGCCAGGGAGACGCAGTGGGTGCTGTTGGGTGCTGCGGGGTGGAGCAGGCGTGCGCGTGGCCCCTGCCCATTTCATCCCAGCGCCCAGGGCCCTTCTCGGCCCAGCTGGGCCTCGCATTCCTGGCCCTCTCCTGGAGGGAGCCCACGCCGGGGTCGTTCCCCCACCTCCGTCTCCCCTCTAGAGACCAGGCGTGTTCCCCGCTTGCTCACACCAGCTCGTGACCTTTTTCTCAAGCCCCAGCCCTGTGCTTCCTAACTCCCAGGCCCATGAGCCACGGGTTCTCCTGCTCCTTCTTCCTGCCTCCACCTAGGGCCTCACAGGCTGCAGAGCAGCTGGGCGAGGGCGACTCCGCCCATAGGCTGCTAAAGGGCCAACCTCCACCTGGGGAAGGGTGCGCAGCAGGGGACCCAGGGAGAAGGGTGCGGAGGGTGTGAGAGCCATTCAGCCACCTCCCAGGGACAGCGGCTCCCACCAGGGCGACTGAGCCCGTGCCTCGCAGCTGCGTCCCTCCCAGGCATCCTCAGCCAAGCACCCCAAATTTGGCAAAAACGTGGGGTTTCTTCGCCCTGAGTTCACATCCAATAAGCTCCTTCCTCAGCACTGAGCCCGCCTGTGTAGAGGTCAAGTGGATGAAGCCAGGCACAGTGGTGGGAGGATGGCTTGAGTCCAGGGGTTCGAGTCCAGCCTGGGCAACATAGCGAGACCCCACATCTAAAAGAGATGAATAAAGAGTTGGTGGATGGGAGATGAGGGGCAGGGCTGGGGACACTCTGGACATCCGTCAGGGTGGAGTAAGGTCACAGGCAGGGGAGACATGACCCTGTGGTCTGGCTACCTGGGACAGCTTTGGTTTACACTGTTGCCCCGTTGTAAATATTCATAGTGCAGGCCGGGCTCGGTGGCTCAGCCTGTCATCCCACGCTTTGGGAGGCCGAGGAGAGTGGATTGCCTGAGCCCGTGGGTTCGAGACCCGCCTGGGC